GAGAGAGAGAGAGAAGTACCTGAGCATAATTTGTGAGCGTTCTTTAATTTTGCAGTTGTGCCACTGCGTTTGCTACATATTCGAAGATGACTACTGAGCTTAATTGGCACTCTATTAATTAAAGAATCCTCTTAGGTATCTAAATAATTCCCCACTTCTATTTCTGTATATAAAATGTTAAAAGAATAAAGAATTCTTGCGCGTTTAAATGAAATCTTGACAATAGTACATAAATTAAATCTCTAATGTGTTGTATGTAATTATAATTTATTTTGCAGCATTGATTACCAATATCAATGATGTTCAATAATGCCCAGATTATGGAGTTAAATTATTACAATATTACACAGTTTAATGTAGTTTCTTGAGGTATCATTATTCAAGACTAGTTTCACAGATACATTCATCTTTTCTTTTTATTAAAATATATGTTATGATTGTGACTCTATGTACTTCCACGCAATACATAAAAATCTGAATTCTCTGCTTTATAAAGATTCTATCAGTTTAAGTATGTAATCAAGTCGCAAAAAGAAGTATTATGCAGCCTCTCACATTTCGTGAACGCCGATTCGATCGTCTGCTCAAGCTATCAGAAGATCTAACGCCTTATCACGATCAAAATTACACTTTTCTAATGCCGCAGAAGCTTTATCCTCGGGAAATCCTAGATCTTTTAACGTACATAAGTTCTCATAGTAGATTCTTGCCTTGGATTGATCGTACTGCGCGAGCGTCAGCGCCGTCTCGGCATAGTCATTTGGAATACCGACCTCTTCTAAGGATTGGACGGCCAGTAGGTACTCCACGATTTTCTTTTCATGCACTCGACCCAACTCCAATACCGCGCGTGCCGCTCTGCATTTAGGAAATCCCATGTCACTTAAATGCATTACTAATTTTCGGTCATCCTCTGTCATGCTCGATAATAGGTCTGTCGAGGGCTTCGCGTGATTTGATGTTGAATCGTCATGCCTCGATGCTGCATGCACATCACTATCTGGACTCTCCAAGTCGGGCCATGGCTTCCAATCCTGTTGCAAGAAGAAATTGATCAAATTAGCTGTACTACATCACAAAAAGATAAAGATTTATTACCTTTATAGCAGGCCGTTCTAATTCCTTTTGAAGTTCTTGCATTATTGTTGAAACGCTACGGTGATTTTCGATATGCATGTCTGTATCGGCTTCGTCATCCATCTGATTCTCCATATTAGCCTCTTCCTCCTTACAAATCTCGGCTGTATCATCGATTGTTAATTCATTTATAATATTTTCCAATTTTCCTGCAGGTACCCATTGCGATCTAGGTTGTAAGACCTGTGTTCAAATGACATACGTAAGACAAACTCGATCATCCAAGTGGCAACGTTCATTTAAAATATAGAAACAAATTCTTTCGTTAACCTGCGCTAACTCCTCCATGTCATTGATGGTTTTTAATTCCATGTTATCAAAGGGGCTACTTGTATCATTATCAAAGTCAGCAAAGTCTAGGCCTCCATTGATCTTTGTATGATCCTGAAGGTCATTTGCTGGAGGTGATAGAGGCTGTGGCATAAGTATTGTTGGTTCCGGAGCTGGTGGCACATTGATGGGTAACTGCTTCACACAATCCAGCGGTGGTGGGGATGGAGGAGTTTCCTCGATCTTTTTCTTTTTCTCTTTCAATCGAGCCTGACGTGCCTTGCTGTAGGCCTGCCTAGCCTTGCGCCACTCGCTTATCTATTTATAATTCACAATAATTAGATCAAAGACGGACTCGTCTTAAAGCTGCTGGAGAAGTCAAAAGCCTATATGTACAAAATATGCATTTTTTTATATTTTACCTTCTCAAGCACCGATTTCTCCAAACTGAAGTCATACATCAGCTTCGATACATCCGGCAATCGGTTGTTGTACGCCGCGGGTAGGCCGATTTTCCTCGGTGGTTTATACGCTTCCGCGATCTTGACATGTACCCCGTCCATGTACGACGCGACCAGATCGCATTGTGCCGACACCGAGGCTCGAGCCATTGATTCGTATCGGCGGGGAATAATCGCCAGGGAATAACGCGCGACAACCTGCAGCGACGACCCGTCACTCTACTCGCCGATACTTGAGGCATAACCTTAATTTACATCCATCGCAATACATCTCGTTTAATCGTACGCCACTGACACATCTCGTTCGTAATTGCAATTTAATTGGATGGACAATGTCTACGTAACTTGAGATCCGTAAAATATCTCATGACAGCTGAAATGGCGAAAGTACACCTCCACTTGACAGATCAAATCATAAACGCTCGCCGTGGCGAAAAATATCGATTGCGTGCAAAATAACAAAGAGGGATTTGAGATAGGAGTGATTGTCAAATAAACCCTCGATAGATCCAAAGATAATTAGGAATATAGACATTATCGATTGTCGATATAAAAATTCGACAGCTCATGAAATAAGCATAGCGAAAAAAAAAGAATCGACATCGCGGAACAGAGACTTCGACATTTTGATATATTCAAAATTTTTATAATTTATTTTTATTTATCAACAGTAAAATTCAATTGTTTGATATCGAGTTATTTCTGCATACTTGCATGCACATATGTAATAACATGCATATATATATATATATAGATGTATAAATATGAGTATGTGCTATCACACACACATTTCTTATCACATAATTATACATAATTCAAATATGATAAATGATTAAATTATTTTTACAACAAAATATTGCATTATTTATAAATTTATTTATATGATTAAATAATATTTAGAAAAATTATTATCATATACAATAATAAAATAAATCTAATTGGAATTAAATCTATATAAAATAAATCTAACATGTTTAAGCACATGAGATATCATGTCAATGATTTAATAAATTAGTGTTAATCTTTTTTAATGGTAATAGTTCAGCCTGAGCATCATAGTAATACTCTGTTGGATGTTGTTAGTAAGAATATCTCATATATTGTCAGTGTTATATTTACAGTTAAATACTTATCACCATTATAAAAATTTTGGAAGAAAATATTTATATTTTTAGCTTTAAATCATTTCTTCCATTACCAGAAATTATCAATTAATCTATATTTCCAAATTTTTAAAAAGAATGACTTAATCAGAAAATTGCTTAGTATACGTAATAATAAAAATAAAAAAAATATTTTAAAAACAAAAATCTTTTCGGATAATTTTACATCAGAATTATATCTAATTTAATATTTAAAATAGAAACGCGTGTGTGTAATTTTAAATTTAATGAAAAATAAAATTATTGACAATGACAATAAGCAATGAATTGTATTGCTCTAATATGAGTATTTTTTGACTAAATATTTTTTCATTATTTGATTAAAATACTTTTAATTGCAGATTTTTTCTGAACTAAAAGCTTAAACTAAAAACTTAATTGTGAACATCTTTTAATCGACTTTAAAACATTCATTTTCTTTATGTATCGATAAATATTCCAAAAAATTGTTAACTCTAATTAATCAACACGTTTAATGTTTAAAATTCAATGCTGTCTTTTTTTTCTTTATAACAATAAATAAAAATGTAAAAAAATGGTAACAACGCCACACGCGGTTATCCAACTACTAATCGTGCCTAGCACCACTTACTTCAGTGATCGGACGAGAACTCGTGGTTTCGGCGTAATATGGGTGTTGCCGATGTTGAGAGCACAATGTGAATTACTCAAGTATGTTATTATTATTAAAATTATTAAAATTTAAATCTTTTGAATTTAATTTATGATTGATATATACTATTTCATGTATTTATAGTGAAAATTTTTTTACTTTGTATAAGAATCGAAATTTTCATAGGAAAAATAATGTGTATAAAATATAAAATAAGTTCAAATAATTTTCTAATAATTCAAAAGAGAAATGATTCAGTTTCATAAAAAAAAAGTGATAACGTTACACGGTGTGTGTGTGGGGTGGGGGGGGTGGGGTGGGGTGGTGTGTGTGTGTGTGTGTGTGAGAGAGAGAGAGAGAGAGACGAGAGAGACAGAGAGAGAGAGAGAGAGAGAGAGAGAGAGAGAGAGAGAAAGTCTAGCTATATTGCGTATATTACAACATCTTATTCATGAAGTATTTTTAAATGCAACTCACAAATCTTTAACACGTCAATAAGTGTCGGTCCACAATAAGTATTTAATCTTTAAGCCGTAAGAAATTGACCAATCATAGTCGATTATTCTTTTCATATTCGATTATAATTAGTCAATTTCTTACATCTTAAAGCTTAAATCACCTATTGTAGACCGACACTAAGATAGCATAGAGAATAAATGTAAAATAGATGCATAGAATAGTCACATAAAATATCTTTTCTACTTTATTTTTAAGTTTTATTTTTTTTTTTCGTAATTCTTTTATTTTTTACCCATTCTACATTGCTTTCCATCAATATATTTCTTTTATTTTTATTATCTCACAATTTTTATTTTACATTGTTTAACAAGATCTTTTCATTATTATTATTATTATTATTTACATATGTTTCTTACAATCTTTTATTTTTTTAAACCATTTTTTTTATTATGTGTTTTCTCTCTTTCTTTCTTGTTTTGTTTTTTTATGATATAAAATTATTAATTGCTGATAAATATAGATGACT